AAAAGTCCTCTGTGGGTAAAGAAAGATCAAACAGTTTAGGAAGTTGGGTTAGATGTTTAATTTGTGATACTGTATGAGCAAAACTCTAGCCTACAGTAAATTTCTTTACTCAAGGCTTGAGCCTCACTTTCACTATGCAATTCTGTCTGCCACCGGGCACGGTTCTGGGAAAATGAAGGCTCGTTGGCGTGCTGGCTAATGATGGCAGCGAGAAACAAACGTGTATGATCCATTGTCCGTTTGATAATCTAAACAAAGAACACGCTTTTGTCTTGTGGTGGCCTTTCTAAAATGAGCAGTGGTGAAAGTTACTATATTCAGTTATGATCAAGGAATTCATACGCAGACAGTTGAAAGTTTTAAACCCAAGGCTAACATTATTTTACAATAACGATCTTACGAATACTTATTGTTCGCCTGCTGTATCATCCCTACTTCTTGGGTTCAATCAAATGAAGCAAAAAGCAATTTTGTCTGCAAAACAGAAATCCCAGTATTATAGGCCTAAACCGTATAGAACAAGTGAATGGAGCATGAGATGTTTGTGTGATTCGCTGAATTAAAAACTGGTTGTGGTTCAGGCGGCCTGTTGGTGAAATTAGGTTTTGTCTGACAGAGGATTGTAAGGACCAAATAAAAAAAATGATTTGACAGTTACCACGCCCTCTCAGTGTCCAGTCTGCAGAGACACCCTACTCTGGTAAAGGCAGGTTAGCCAGCTGGTGTCCACTCAACTTCCCAGGAGGGAAGATGGAGTCAGTGTGGATTGGATGACAGAACGCTCACATGCTGCTCACATGTTGCTTCTGTCTCGCTTCCAATGGGAATTCCCAGTAAGCCATAACAAAGTTTAAAAGTCTGAAATTGGCTCACATCAAGATCAGAATGACAGCACTGCTTGTACTTGTTTTCTTCCTCTCATGTAAAATAATTTACCTGTTTTGTTGATATAAGTTTCTTTAGGACAGATTTCACAATCGAAGCAGCATTGGTGGATTCCATCATGCTTTTGAACAAATCCTTCATCACATTCTTGGGAACACAGTGAAGTAGGCACCTGTACAAGACAATTATTTAGACAATTAAGGACAAGTGCAATATAACGCTGTAGGAGGGTGGAGGCAAATTATAGACAAGTGGTGGTATTTAAATTCTAAACAGGGTTTGTAATATGCCTTCAACACTGAACATAACATCTAGACGTCTCTGCAAATGACACCATGAACAACCACCATTGGTTGATGTTCATGATTTTGTGTTTTCTTTTGTCCCTGTCACAGCTTTTACTAAATAAATGTGCACTCATCCACACACACATCCTTGCAGAAGTGGGAAAACAAAACAAAGTATTTTTAAATCAACGTCTAAATTAGTCGTAGGTAAAAACAACCTACTTTTCCCTTTGTGTACCACTGAATTTTGGTGTCGTTGATGAAGAAATTGAACTTTGGGTGAAAATGACAAATGCCGATCTCCTCTGCATCTCCACTTTGGTTCCAGAAAACTATAGAATAGGATCCGAAGTTGGGGTCGCCATTCTCATCAAATGTAACACTTTGATTTAAAAGTGTAAAGTTTGACTTCTTCAGCTCTGCCAGAACCTGATGTGGGTACACAAAGTTCAGAGATCTTGCATTTGTTTACAATTAACATTATTAGGTGATGATTCAATAGGTTTTTAACCTATAAGTTTTACACTTTGAAATAAGCTTGTCTGTAAGATAAACTCGTCAGTAAGATACATTTACAAGAATCAGATGGTGAGAACAAATTAAATGAATTATCAAATTATGTGTACACTTACCATGTGTGGGTACACCGTAATATTGCCTTTACATCTGCCTGATTCACATTGCAAGGCATTGTGCAAGGCATGAGCGATGGCATGTACAGCAGAATAAACAGGGAAATTAAAAGATGGGTCTACAGCAAGGATTTCTTCTGCACTCAGGCTGCTGCAGTTGCAAACCTGATTACAAAATAATTTTTGTTCTACATTTTCACAATAGCTCTGACTTTTGGAAGAATAGATAAAATCACTGAAACCAGGTATTGTCACTTTTGGCTCAGAAACCCCAATTACAGTTCCAATATTTTGGATTCCTTCCTCCTTGAGGAGCTCCTTGTTTAAGGACCATGCATCCCCTGCTATCCACACCTTGTTGGTGACATTTTGTTGTATTGCTTTGTGAATGAGAGCTACAGCAGTCCATTCAGGAGCAAAAACAATAATGATATCTATCCTCTGTGCCTCTATCTGTCTGAATATTTTGGAGTGAACTGTATCTTGATTGAGGCCTTTGGTGTATGCCAGACAAATCTCAGTGTCTTTAATCCTCTTTATGAACAAATCCCGGCCATCGTTTCCATAATCATCATCAATGTTAAGAAAAGCAACCCAGCGCCATTTGAAGTGTTGCACAATGTTAAAAATCACTTCTATGATGTCTTTATTGGGATGTACTGTTCGTAGGAAAGACGGGAAAATCAGTTTTCTTGAAAAGACTGAACTAGAAGCTCCATAACTGACCTGTCAAAAGAGTAATGGAAAAAATTCAGTGAAATATTGCAATATGTAACATTAAAACATATTTTAGTATTAATTGATAAGAACATATACAGTATATTTTGAGAGTTATAAAGAAATTGTCATTATTTTAGTGACCAATTTAAAAGCTGTTTTAATTTGTTTAAATGCATGTAAAACTGTTTTTAATCACTTGATGTATCTGGAAAATGTACCATAGGAATGAGATCCATCATGAACAGCGGGGCTACAGTCAGGGCTTGAGTGCTTGTATAAGTGCCGACCACGCCCATCACTTTAGACAGATTCTTGTATGGGTCACCCCAAGGTTGGATCAAGCCGTCGACTGAGAGGAGTTTAAAGATGCCTGGAAAATTGTGTATATCTGAACAGTGGTCAAATATCTCATAGCCAAGAGATACATTTGGCAGGAGTTTGGTGGAGTTATTGATTTCCTCTACAGAGAATCTCATCAACTGAAACCTCCGATAACTTGACAGAATGAAGGGTTGACTGTGGATAGAGGAAGGAAAGTGAGAGAATGTGAGAATTAGTTTCACTATTTACTGCCTGTACAGACATGTATATCTAAAACAAGATTATAATGGAGGTCAATAATGCAGACTTGATGTTCTTTGATAATATAGCAATTGATTAAATAGTTCTTGGGGAAATGTTACGAGCTATATCCACTGACCTGAAAGCTAAGGCTAAACTTGAATGTGTAAGCTGTCATGTGTTAACACCAGGCAGTAATTATTTTCAACCTCAGAAGATATTCTTTCAGACTTATTGTAAGACTCACCTGGAGCAGTCGATGGCTTCTGGACGGTCTTGTTTAACAGTGTAATTATCATGATGAATGTCAAAAAGTCCAGCCAACAAATAATCTCCTTCCAGCTGAAACTCTGAGGCTGGGACGGTGCATTGAGCCAAGGCACGTAGAAAAGCTCCCAAGAGAAGCAGAGAAACAAATAAGTGTTTCATTGTGCTAGTTAGCCTACCGTTTACCAATCTGATGTCAAACATGAAATGGGAGCGTATATGAGTTGTCAGAAATACCTAATGAAGAATACACAAATGAGTATGCAAAAATCATCTCAGCTGTCCCTACCGTCCCTGTGATACAGTGAATTCAAAAAGTACTTTAAAACCTTCACTTACATCTCTTTTGACATTTCAGCCTTGTTCTAAAATCGTGCATTGAGCCGAGGCATGTAGAAAAGCTTGCAGATAACACAGAGAAGTAAGAAAATGTTTCATTGTTGTAATTTTCTTTATTCTGACATGAACTCAGTAGCTTCAGCCTTTTTTCAAGCAATGCGATGCTCGTAACAACAAACCCCCAGTGTTCACTTCCATGGAATTGAGAATGCATGACAGCAGATGTTATAAATATATACCTGTAAATAGTTGGAAAAGAATACACAAATCAGTATGCAAAAAGGATTGAAGCTGCACAGACTCTGCAATGATGATTATGAGCAGGTAAATTCAATACCTCTATCATGAATATATCTCGTGCTACTTGATGTGAACCCTTCAGAATTTTCTGTATTTCTGCATAAATGTGACCTAAAATGTGATCAGATCCAGACTCAAATCCTAAAACTAGATAAATAGGGCACAGTTAAACAAATAATACAAAAACAATTATACTTAATCATTGAGCTAAATTTTAGTTTAGTTTAGCGGTCCCTGCCCTATTGAAAGACTAAGACATGAAGGTCAAAGCAGTTAAGCTTGGCACCCAGTGGTACTGGACAAAGTGTGATTTACCCAAGAGGATAGTAACATGGACAGAGTTGTGGCATCTCATTCTTCCTTCCATCAATATCACAAACTCTCCCTTCATTAGCACACTTGTATCCCAGTTGTAAACTCTGCAGCAGGACGGACACAGTAGTGCACATATTGACAGGTGTGAACCAGCTTTATCCCAAGGCCAATAAAGATGGTACCACGACAAGGTCTTGCTTGTTTTGGCTGACACATTAAAGCGGGAGAGATGGATAAAGTGGCCAGAGAGCTTCAGCCTAACTAGACCAGTCGCCTTTGCTCAGAAGGGAACCAAGCCAGGTATGTCCCACAGATCTGAACCCACTTTACAGCAAATGAGATGAGGTTAAAATAAGTTATATAAGACATTCAGAACATGAATATAGCAGCAAACAAATATTTGTGCAATGTAAAGATAT